TGTCCTTCTCAAATTTGTGCAATATTTTCTTTAACTCGATAAAGTTTTTTATAGTAAGCACACAATAAAAAGATAAATAAAAAGAAATCCAAGAGTTTGCAGTGGGTTGTTTTAGAATGTGAAAACAGCCTGACAATTACAGATTTAGGTAGCAGTTAAGTTACTGATTTAGGTTCAGTTTTGTTTACTTATTTATTACCGATTGTGTAAATGCTCTATCCAACAGTTTCTTGTCTTCTTTGTTCAGAATTACAAGTCTACGAAGTTGAACATTAATAATCATAAATCCAAAAATGAATCTGCTGTTTAATGTCGATTTTAAAATATAAATATCGCTTTGCGATGAAAACAAGTTCAGGAAAGAAATACTCCAGCCGTAATTTACATATTTATCCCATTTATGGTTACTATCCCATTGTATTACGCATGGTTTAAATTAAGAGTCGTCTGGAAATGTGCTAGAAATTCCCCTTTTAAGAATATAATTGTGACTAAATGAGCGTGCCCGCATTGTTCTGTTTATTATAAGTTTAAATGGTGTTTATGATGAGAATGTAATAATATTCATTATCACCATACCAGTTTTTAAGCGTACTCTAAATAAAACTAAAAGATAGTATTGGCTTCACTTAAAACTCAAAACAATGGTTAGATTTTATGTAGGTAATATCACTAAAAGAGCTTGGCTGATCATAAAATATTTTTAATCTTTTAAAAATAGCACATTCTTGCAAACTTAACGAGATTTTCTAGCCTAGAGGTATATTATTAAAATCTATAAATAATTCTCAGTTTTTGCATATTTTAGAAATACTAACAATGTTGCAGATTTAAAAATTATGTACCAATTATTTTCTTTTTTCTCCTGCAATCAAACTGATTTTGGTGTTTAGTGTTCAGCCTAACTCAGTTGTGATTCGTTCACGTATTTTTTTTCTTCCTAGCTTTAATTTCAGTTTGTATAATCATTTTATTTTATTCTATTTTATTACCATTGTTAAACGATAGACCCGATTCAGGGTTTACGACTACTAATATTCAACTTCTTTGCCTTGCAATTTTTAACCGAATCCAGAAGACAAGGGAACTCCTGGATCACGTATTGGGAGAAATTTGCCTTCGTGACGGACTTTTTACCCCTGAGCAACCACAGCTCAGTTTGAAACTATTAATGTGTATATGTTTTTGGTTTAGTTTTTGAAAATGGCTGTAGAAATGTAAAATTCTTATGTCGTGAATCACTTTGTACGGTGCTCCAAAAAAAAAAGGACTAGCTGTAATAACTTTTGAACTAAGGATCGGATCTTCACGTTCTAGGACTCAATGGTTTGAAGGGGTGATAGCAATTATGCTGATTAATTAGTGCAGACGATATTTGAAGTTGAGAAATCAGACACGAAAACTTACTTTCTCTCTATAAATATACCTTATTTCGACGGATTCGGTCTTCGATTCCCTGTGACGAATCGAGCTATATTAAGAAACAGTTTTTTGTTATGTTACAAAAACATTTATTTCACACCACAACAAATACAGTAACAAATATAAAGTACCCGTAACAGGTTTGTTTTATAATCTTATAAAACAAACTAGAAAAAGTGTCCGTAACGGGATATATGAAAACTCATCCGTAACGGGATAGATAAAATATTATAAACAGACTAGATATCCTTAAAGGTTTATATGAAAACTCAAATTCCACAACAAAATCTAATCTCTAAAAAATCAACAACTCTCTGTTGTTCTTAAAAGGTCTTCTAATTTTATCGTCTGCTTTTATTTTATTGTTTATCTCTTTATGTGCTTATTTTATTTTATTCATGCTTTTGCTAGCCTGTTATTTTTTAATATTTTTATTTTTATTCATACTTTTGCTAGCTAATGAGTTTTTCAAGTATTTTTAAACTTCATATCCCCCCCCCAAATAGAGGGTAGCCACAATCGGGGAATGTGGCTACCCTCGGGGGTTCGAACCCATAATTGGGGTAGCCACAATCAAGGATTTGAACCCACAACCATTGGACCAGTGGTAGGCATGCTGCAGAGATATATCAAATAAAGATAATTATCTTTCCTGATTTATGATTGTAAAATGTTAGAACTCGAAGTATATATCATTCTCCCGACTTATAAAGGTGAAGCGGCTAGTATATCGCAGAAGTGTGTTTTATATGGTTCTGAAATTAAATCTCAGGAATTTTTGAAAGCTAAAGCGGGTTTTAACACAAAAACATACTTTCTCTGGAGAAACATACCTTTTTTCAGATTTTTGACCCCCAAAATATATGGGTTAAACTCCATCTGGAAAATGTGGTCTCCTTTGTTTGGTCAGGAGAGCGATCCAAAGTTTGGATCCTTAATTTCCCAAAGTTTGGACTTATTGAGCGGAATGAAAAATTTTTGCTCGCAATTATGAAACCCGTTTATTCAAAGATAATTCCATGCAAAAAGTAAATTCTAGTTAATAATTATTATTTTTTATTACGTTATTTAATAATAGTCAAAAAAATTCCAATTGTAAGGTATACAACGTTATCTTTACGTGTGCAATTTGGTGTGACAAAATAAAATATTTGAGTTAAATTGGTTGAATAGTTCCTGAGAAATCAAATTTTAGGAATACGATTCTTTTAAAATTTGATTTTTCAACCATTTTCGCTCAAATTTTGGAAAATTTATGTTTTAATAAATTAGTCTAGAAGTTTTAGTCGATTATAGAATAGAATAAACTATTCTGAATAAATTCTACCAAAGCAAAAATTTTTGATCTATTATCAAACAATTTAAAGACATAGTTCCTTAAAAATTTCAAATTTTATATGTTTCTTAAAACTGCTTCGTTCAAATATAGACAATAAATATACTGAACATCAGGACACGTATAACGAAACTTTAATTTCCATATTATATAATTTATACTTAAACTTTTATTTTGTGAATTTTTATATTTTTTTTTTTGAAATTCGTATTTATATTTATATTAACATATACAGTGAATTTATACTTCAGGCGGCTTTTTAAAACATTCGTTCTAAGGAAGAAATAGAACAAATCTAAATCCCTCTATTCGCCTTAAACAGACAGTTACGTTGGGTAAATATTCTTTTCAAAAAGTTCAATTTTCATGGAATGTTTTAAAAGGTAAAAGTTATATAAAGTGTTCTCTTAAAAATTTTAAATCATATTTTTGTATCTGCTTACAAAAGCATCAATTTCTGAAAAACATACATATATATAAATACATCCTCTGGCCAAAGATTCTATGTAAAAGATTCTATGTAAGATTCTATGTAAAATCTTAATTATCAGCTGATACTATACAGCTTTATTGTTTTTACACGGCTGAAACCGGTTTGCACTTGTTTACATTCGTGTTTCAATGGGTTAACATTGGAATGCAATACGTTAAAAATAAATACTCCTAAATAAAAACTCCTAAATAAAAACCCCATTACATGTGTATGTTTAAATATGAAAGTATTGCCCATAAATTCGTGCAAAACATGTAATTATTAAAAAAACTACAGTGCGTCTAATAATTTGGTCTATTTATTATAATATACTAATATAATACTTGATATAATAAATATTCTATATTCATATAATTTATCGAGTAATTTATCCAAGCGTCGAATTTATATTATATATCGACAAATTTAACCAATTGATACGCGAACGTAAACAAGTGCAAACCAGTTTCAGTCGCGTGAAAACAATAATAGAAGCAGATTTATATATACG